ATTTACTGACTTTTGAATTTCGTGGTATGATAGCTATACGTTTCAGTGTAAAGTATATTTCAACTTTAGGATTGTGATTTAAATCATCTATTATTATTATTATTTTTGAACATTTTATCATGGAGTTAGTTTAAATCGTTGTCATTGAGAAAGAGAATATGAATCTTACAAGTGTAGTTGAAGTTATTTGATCCGAATGATCAGGTTCGATTTAAATCATCCATTGTTAAATTATAATCTGTTTAAAAAATAATAATGACTTTACTTAGCTTAATTAAAAATAAATTATTTATATTGAAATTAAAAAATTTATAAAAAAATTAATCCTTTTATTGGCATTTCAAGATATTCATCACTATAAAATGAGAAACAAATCACTTAACAACTACGACTACCGCTTCCAGAGTATGGTCATCATAATTGAAGTTGCCTTTTATTTACAAAATATTAAAGAAACCAAAAAAAAAAAAAAAAGAGAGAGAGAGAGAGATAAATCATAAGAAGCTCTACCCCGTCCAAATGGGTGAGAAATGGTATAAGAGAAGGTTAAATTTGATTTTATATATATATATACACACATATTGATAAGTTAGTTATTTAGTATCATAAAAATATGAAGCTTCAATTTTAATTACAAATTAAAAATTTTAAATTAATAACTACTAATTTCATTGATAAGTTAAATTTGATTATTTAACCCAAAGAGTGGAATTATGCATTAAGATAATTTCTCAAAAGGAGTATCTTTGAAGCTTGTTTTCTAGATGAAAGTGAATAAAAGAACAAGAGTATTAATGGTAATCCACATGAGCTCTTTTTTTTTTTTTTTTTAGGAAAATAGAAACTTTTAAAAATTGGGTTTTTTTTTCTTCTTCTATTTTGAAAACCAAAAACTTCAGAAGTACTAGATGAATTTAGTAGTTGGTCAATGCCTACTTTTCTGGGGGGCCATACAAAAAGGATTGCAGGGCACCAAAGGAACCAAGGAGAAGTAATAAATTTATAATATTAATTTGGTGATGGGGTTGGTGGAAGTTAGGTCTGTCCTCTGTATGGTACCCTATTCCCTAAACTTAAGGACAAATAAAGTCATAGTCACAGAAGTACTGAGTCAGTACATATCATGTTTTAGCCATGAATTCAATATGTTGGTCACGGTCATACACAGCCAATTTGAAGGTCAGAAACCCGTGACTTATTTTAAGGGAGCAATGGGGACTTCTATATACAATAATACAAAGATATCCAATTAATTAATGTTATTTCTCTCTTTTTTCAACCCTAACATATAAAAAATGCATTAGTTGAAAGTTATTTGGCGTAAACGAAATGACGTCTTCCTAAATTAAAAAACGGAAACCATTCTTTACAAAAATAATGTCTTTTAAGCCAATCGGGCCTGTGGCCTAATTGGTTGGCCTCAAACTTTAGAGTTTGGATGAGGCGGAGGTTAGAGATTCGAGCTCTATCACTGCCGTGAATTCCATCAACTTGCGACCTAATGGTCGCGCACCTCAAATAAGGGGGTGGAACGTTCACTTTCCTGAAAAAATTCCAACTGCTAATAAACTAACTCTATTAACTTCCTAACCATTTACCTGGTCAAAAAAAATAAATAATAAATAAATAAAATGTCTTTTAAGTTTTTTTTTTTTTTTTGAACATGCATGAGAAGTCTTTTAAGTTTGTTCTGCACTATAGCTAAAAAAAAATTGTTTTATATATCATATCATGAATTATGTAGCACTTCATTTGAATTTATTATCTTGCATATATTTATAGAAAAAATATTTATCATAGAGTTAAAATTTTTAAATAAAAAAGTATTTTTGTCATTTTGTCGTAGGTTTGTTATATATATATATATATGATTGGAAAATTGATCTATGTATAAATTCAAGTATATTTTATCAACTTGAAAAATATTAAGTCCATTTGATCAATTGTATAATAGTAAGTATTTTGAAGATTTTTCATGAATTAAGAAACAATCAAGCAAACGTAAGGGGAGAGAAAAGTAAGAGCAAGATAAAAGGTACATTGACTCCAAACAAACAAAGAAAGTGCTCAAATTAGGGTTTGAGAGCTTGTTTCAAAATTAAACAAGGGGTAATTAAGCCCTTAAATAAATTAAATTTTGTTTATTGAAAACAGGAAATTAAATGATTTTAAAAAATAACTTGCTGACACGTGACAAATGAACATGTAACATGGTCAACATTAAACCTGTCAACAAGCTACTAATTAAAATAATTCTAAAATAATGAAAACAATGTTCAATAAAATTAAGAGTTGCCTTGAAAGACTCTCACAACTCAGTAATAATTCGAGTTCTTTAATTTGGATATATTAAATTTTAACTTTAAGGTAAAAGGGGAGATTTAGAAAATAAAAAAAAGCTATATTCTATCATATAACTAAGAATTGTACATGGCATTATTTAACTTAATTATGAGATAAAATTACCATTAATCATATACTCTCTTTGTTTAACGTAGATTAGTTTAGTCTACTTTTTAATTTTTTAAATATTTATTTTAAACGAAAATTAATTTTTCATAAAATAAAATAACTTAATAAGAGTCAAATATAAAGAAAAATTTTAATATGATTTATATGTTTTTATTAAATTTTTATTTAAAATTAACATCTAAAACTTTTAAAAATCGAAGTAAACCAACTAATACTTCATTTGATAATATTTTTTAATGATTTAATTTTTAATTTTTATATATTTTTATTATTTTAAAAATATAAAAAATATTAATTAAAGTAAATATTAAATATATTAAATATATTTTTAAAAATATTAAAAAATTAAAAAACTAATAACTACAAGTACAAAACAATACTCCTAAACTAAACCTAAAGTTAGAACGGAAGAAGTATAATTCTCTACGTAACCACTGAATAGTGAATACCTACCTCTCTCTCTCCGCGTACATCGAACTTTGACAAAAGAATACACTAATACATTGAGTGTGCCAACTCAAATTCAGAGATTATGCAGATTTAATGATTATTATAAGATTAATTAAAGAGATTTCAGCGTGTTGACGGTGGTTAAGCTGTTTAGATCTGGTTATTTTATAGAACTAGATTAACCTAAACAAAATGTAAGCTCAAAGATAGAGGAATTTAGAGGAAAGAAAGACGACTTCGAAGTAAGTAATCCAGTCAATGTTTAAAGTTAAAGAAAAATATTATATATTGTGTAGTCTTAGATACAACTGGATAACGGAAATGAGTGAGGATTTTTTTTTTCCTGCATTTTAAAGGTATA